AACGCAGAGTTGCCGTTGATGCGGGAATCAGGATTTTTCCGAAAACTGAGGATGACTACCGCAGAATCGTTCACCTGTTCAGGGAGGAGGAGGTGCCCCATCACATGTTCCCTCTTCCTTCAGAACGAAGTATTCACGAGGTAGTCAGAGGTATATCCTCAATGTTTTCGGAACAGTGGATCAAAGGGGAATTAGAACAGAGGGGATATACTCTTCTCCACATTATCCGACTCAAACGCAGTGGCGGCGCACCGATGCCTTTGGTGGTCGTGATACTGCCCAAGATTGGAAAGTCTCAGCAGTTGTTCAATGAACATGACCTGCTGGGCCTAGCAATCAGAGTTGAGGTTCAAAAGAACTCTAGATTTATTGGGCAGTGTCACCGCTGCCAAAGGTATGGTCATGCGCAGTCGTACTGCACAGCACCTCCCAAATGTTTAAAATGTGCTTCCGATCACATGACACATTTATGCCTCTCACAGGACAAGAGGAGCGAAGGTGTGCGAACTGCGGAGGGACCCATCCCGCTAACAGTCCCACTTGCAAATTCACCCCCAGGCGAAATCTGGAAGTCATAGCGCAAAGTCGCAGCAAGTCATACGTAGAACCAGCCGTCTCAACATCTTCGGCTGCCCCCTCTGTTCAACTCACTTTGAATACGCAGAATGTGGACCTAGCAACTGCGCTTAGGTCCCTTCAACAAATAATAAGTCTCCTGATTAGCGCTACTCAGGTATTGCAGGCGATCTTTCCGCAGCCATTGAATGGCCAAGTACAATAGACAACCTGCATTTATCAAAACTCTTTTTTGGAATTGTCCGGGCCTAAGGGATATTCCCAAAAAACATGAAATTTCATCAAACTCTATTGGATGAGAGTATAGACGTAGCTCTGCTGCAGGAAACATTACTTAATCCGGAAGATCGCTTAGCTTTCTGGAATTATGATGCGATCTGACACATTGAATGGTAGGTGTGGTGGCTTGGCAGTGCTCGTTAAACGTGGTATTGACTATCACAGAAGCACAAAAGCCGAGATGCAAAGCATTGAAGCGGCGTTCGTGGTAGTCAATATTGCGGGATGCATTCCGTTGAAGATCACCTCGGTGTATGTCAGGTGCGGTGCCAGGCTGCGAGAGGAGGACTTGGAAGTCCTTCTGGACTGTTCGGGCCCAATTATTGCGGCAGGGGACTACAACTGCAAATATCGATCAAGGCAGTCAAGGCTTAACTCTACTTGTGAGGTTCGGCTTTACAACCATGTGATGCGAAACGGGTATCTTATTTACAGCACCGAAGAGCCGACACACCATCCTTTCAATCTCCGCCTGGAAAATGGTGGTGTATCCACCGAGAGGCAGAGATAGCCTAGTTCTAGGCCCAGAGACCCCAGCACCTGAGCCCTCTTCGGTGACCGAGCCGTCCGTGTACCAGACCTGCCCTCTCACTCCGGAGAGTCCCCGGCTACCGGCGTCCCACTCCTCCCTCGTTGGATACTCCACAATAAACTTACGGTTGAAGCGATATTTAGGGGTAATACGATTACCCCTGCTTAGAAGGACGGGGTCCTCCCTTTCTAATTCGACTAAGATGGCAGTAGCCCCTTGGCAGGATTCAAGAAAGTCCAGCTGCCCTGACTCCACAGTCGATGAGCGACTACTCTCGCTTCACCGCGGATCACCAGATCCAACGGTGGGAGATCCAACAGAGCTTCCATTGCACTCAATGGCGTTGTTCGCACTGCGCTTGTAATACTAATACAGGCCAAACGCTGAATTTTATTGAGTTTGGTCTTAGTTGTCTCAGTTCTAAAGCAAGGCCACCAGACCAGGGAGCTGTACAAGAGAGATGGACGTACTATCGTCGTGTAGAGCCAGTATACCACTTTGGGTTTGAGCCCCCACCTTACCCCGACAACACGTCTACAAGCCCACATAGAATTGCGAGCCTTGCTAACCTTGTATTCCACATGCTCTCTCCAGTTCAGTTTGCAATCCAGGATAATTCCCAGATATTTCACTGACTGGGACAAAACTAATCTATTCCCAAAGAAGGTCGGCATGACCAGCCCGTCAAGCCTTCTTCTCCTAGTGAATAGGATCAGCTCGGTCTTTTCAGCATTAACAGAAAGATCGACTTCCCTACACCACGATTCCACGGAGCACAGAGCGCCCTGCATAATTTCCGAGACTGTTCTACAAAAACGCCCCCTAACTACTATGCTTACGTCATCAGCATAGGCTTGCGCGTAGACACCCATACTGCTGAGCCTAACGAGGAGTTCGTTCACCACGATACACCACAGTAGGGGTGACAGAACTCCGCCCTGAGGGCAGCCTCTAGCTACACTCACGCTGCAGCTTACGTCATTCAGCCCCTGCTGTAACAAGATTTTGATTACTCCCAAATATATGCCCAGAAAATGATGCCGCCAAAAATCCTCCGAAAGCTACAAAATCACCTTAGCCCGAAGTATAACCGCGGCCTTATTGACGTCACGGTATTCTGGCGGTAACTTCCCGACAGCCGTAGTATATAAAAAATCCTATTGAATAATATTCTTTCTATATCGGAGGACCATTTTTGAACTGTTGGTGCATAGTGCCCATAAATCTTGCCGCGTGACGTCCGTTCAACCTCAAACACTCTTGGCCAGTCTGTCGCTATGCCGCCATTACGTTTCACGCCTCTGTTGGAATTATGAAGTGGTTCCTAAACGCCAAAACAATTCGTTCTGCTCAAATTCACCGGCAGGTTTTTGAAGTCATTATTGAAACTTAGGCGCGCTATCCAAAACCACCAGCGGAGCCTGCTTTTTAGCGGTGTCGTTCTGCTTCACGACAACGCTCGGCCTAACGTTGCGACAAGGACACGGAGAAGTTTCGTTGGGAACAAATGTTACTATACAGCACCATGGGACTTTCATGTTTTTCCAAAACTTGAGGAATTTCTTGGTGGAAAGCGCTTGGAAAATCATTTGTGAAAAAAAAAACACTTACTAACTGGTTTAACGATTGACGGTCAGGCAGCAGCATTTTTTGATGACACGAACAAAAAATTTCTTGCTACGACTTTATGTATGTATGGTGGCTATGTTGAAAAGTCGAATAATGTTCATATTTTAGTTTGTGATACAATTTACGTTCATAAATGATTCCATTGCAGATCAATTCTTACTTAAAAAACGACCCTCGTAGGTGTCATCCAGCTTAAAAGACAGAAACGTTCAGTATGCATAAGCATGATCTAACGATTTCAAAGAGAAAATCGTGGAATAATCCTGTTCAAAAAAGTGAAAAATAATGTTGAAGAATGTCAGCTGGCGTTGTGGTAGCGGTATTGTATCAAAGGCCAGTTGCCAAATAATTTTTATTTGCCACCGATTTATCTGAATCGCCTGATGTATTACAAATTTTATAGTCTCCCAGACACAATATCACTAAAAATACGATTCGAGTAGCCTCTTGTGCTAGTTTATTTTAGAAAACATTTTCCCAGAAGTGCAATACTTAGTAGTACATAGTGTTTTCGCATCTTTCTAATTTACACTCGAAAACATCAAAGGAATGATTAATGTTTCGATTGCGACTTTTGAGCTAGAGTGCGGAAATGTCTAAGTTTCTCCGGGTGTCTTCAAAGAAATACCATATTTTGTAATTGGAATGGATTTTGAACGCAGTATTGTCGATTTTTTTAAATGATATGTGAATAGTGAAATGAAAGCAGTCACTACTCCATTCAGGAAGATTTTTATTAGGAAAGTGTTGATGATATATGAGACTTATCCTGTAGTTTACATACCGATAATCATCTATTTTTGTCTAGCTGAATTAAACCCCATATATGTTCACTGTTGGGACCAAAACGTTGTACAATAAAGAGGAATTTTAAACATACATATTTGTGGTTTGATTCGAAGAGGTAAACATGGAGAATTTTGATAATTTGATTAAAAGATTCAGTTGACTAGTCCGTATTAAGAACATCTTAACTTAGAAACATTTTTCATTTGAATATGACACAATTTCATCATTTTCATGTTCGTAGTTTCAAGATATTCAATACTTTGCCGCTCAATAAATATTTTATATTTTATTTATGATAATGGAAGCAGCAATAGAAACGCACTTACGCCGTTCAATGAAAACAATCATAAAATTCAGCTAAGTAAACACGCATCTTTCCAAAAAACTCTTTTACATAAGATATATTATGTAGGTCAAAACTATTGATTCATACCAGACCACCAAAGCGTATGTTCTATTTCCAGTGCATTATAATTTCGTGTTGCCATTTTTATCTCCGATCTTTTTGTCTGATGTGTCTCATTATTAGTGCATCGCTGATTACAGCCCAGACATATTAAGTTAAAAAAGGGCGAGCCAGTCAACCACGTCACTCTCAATTGTCTTCCTCGGATGAGTATATATGTCAAGGCCGAATGACGTGATTTTCAATATGGGGGTACACTGACTTTAGTGAACTTTGTTGTTAATTCGTCACTTCTTTTTATACTGAAACAGCCGCGAAGACAGAATCAAAATATTGAGATATCGCGATAACGGAATAGAAGACTTTGGAAGTCTGGTACAGTGAGTAGAGTATTGAAATTAAAGAAGGATTATCTCCTACGCAGTTTGGCTTTAGAAAGGGGAGGTCTAATAGACATGTACTCGACGATGCAGCTGGCAGAATAGGCGAATAGTGGCAGGTGGCAGCTATGGCAATAAGAAAGCGTGTCATGGTGGCCTTTGAAATAAATGCCTTTAATATGAGCCAATAACAGAAAATAGTCACTTAAACGCCTAGAAACCCTTGAATAGCTGCCCAACATGATCAATAGCTACTTCGCTGAAAGGACACTGGAAGACAGGGCGACCAGAGCGGTGATGAATATTGCTATTACTATTAATATGGAGTTCCACAGGGATCCATTTTGAGGCCACTACTGTGGAAAGTATTCTACGATGCAACTTTGAGGCTTAATATGTTGTGGCAGGAATGACCAGCTGGTCAATCAAGGAGGAAGATACGTTAAAAAGTCTCATAGTATATGGAATAACCAAGATCAATATGGGGATGAAGCTGGCTCTTGAAAAAACTGAGGTGATAATACTTTCTGGTAGATAGAAGGTGACCTTGGGAATGCTGAGGTATAAAGTCATCGTACGATGAAAATACTGGGCGTGAGGCTGGATGAAGATTCAAAGATGACCGAGCACATAAAGCGCATTGTGGATAAAGCAAATATGGTCGTTGCTTCTTTGATTAGGCTGACGCCAGTTGAGAAGGATCGAGTAGAGAGAAATACGGATTCTGCCTGGGATATCAAACTCGGTCACGTATGGGGCTCCAATATATGAAAAAGCATTGCAAATGAAGAAATTTGGGCAACCGATACCAAAGCAAGGCGACGCTGATGAAAGATGCGGCCTCTATAAGAGGAGTGCAGAAGCCAGGAATGTCTAAGGCGAGGCGCTATACAAATAGTGGCAGCGAAGATGGGACACGACTAGCGATGAAGCATGGGATATGAAACTGATACCAGACAATAAGATCTGGATTAACAGGTGAGCTGTGCAGTTCCTTACAGGACGTGGGTGGTTTGGATAAAATGGGAAAGAGAGTATACGGGAACTGTATGTATTGTTCTGTTGAGCAAATACTACTAGAATGAAATAGAGGGGTTAACTTCTACAAGCAACTCGAAGTGACTCTTGGCGAAAGACTCACTGCTGACAACTTTGCCAAGCATGTATGTGAGAGCAAGTCGAAATAAGACTAATAGGAAGAGGAATGATAGTGAGCAAGGCATGTGACGAGGAAAGCAGACAGCGAAACCAACAATAGGTTTCCATTTCTATGGTGAATGCACAAACATACATGAGTATGTATACATGGAGGTACTACGGCAACATGCTGTCATGCACTTCTGTGGTAGGGTGTATGGCGAACGACTGATGTATTTTAGTGAGTATGCCGTACTTTGGTGAGTATCACACTTCAGGCAGGGAAAGCTGATGATATAAGGAATGCAAGAGAGTCGCTACAAAAGCTTTCGCAAAGAAGCTGCAGACACATGGGCAACTTGTTATGTTGGAAACGTGCCTCAATGACAGTTATTTTTTATTGCATCTTTAATTTACTCCCTCTTTCCCCATACAGTTTACCTGGCTTTGCCTCAACTAAAGTCTCATGACAAACACTGACTCGAACTGCATTTTTGGCGTATTTACATTTTCCGTGTGAGATTGATATCTCATTCGCTTGTTTGAGGTGCAACAGATGTCCTGATCGTAATCAGATACAATAATTAACATATCATGTCGTCAATAAATTACTACATTAATTACATTTGTACATAGGTGTCAACGTAATAAAAAATGAACATTACATGAATGATTAATATACGAAGAAAAAGCAGATAGAAACAATTTTCCATCGTACGTGGTTCACTGACATCAAATAGATGAACAAAACGAAACTCAGGTGTCTTTTTGAATGAATTACGTTCTTACAGAATCTAGTTCTGGAATGATTAGCTATAACAGAATATCAGTTCATTTATTACGTCACAACTGAAGATAAGTGAATAATGAACGAGCCGTTCTTCAATATTCATGAAAATTGAGTTGGTTGATAACATCTGGCGTCAAATGTCTTATTGGACAAGTTCATGGAGTCAAGTAGTAGTAGTAGTGAAGAGGCCAAACCTAGCAAGGTTAACTTTGTCCTTCGAAAAGATTCATCAAGCGCGCAATGTTTAGAGGTCGCCCAAGGGTAAATTTGAACAAAACATGTTTAATCAGTCGCTACAAGTGATGAACAAGAAATTCTTCCACAAAAATTATCTGTCTGGCAGCACTGTACTCATCTCGCTTCAAATAACGACATGTGGTTAAAAGTCATTTTTGTCTTTAAACTGATTTGAACACTACACCTGTATCTAATTTTATGGGTCTCTTCTTTTCATATAGCGTATCGTATAAAAGTCATAGAACCAAGCTGACTTTCTGTTACTTGTTCTACTCCATCATCCAGGGCGATATTATCTTGGCGTCTGCTAACTCCCAAAATTATTGACGTGCAAATGCAAGAGCTCTTGTCCCCTATCTTCGCAAGTGATATCAAGTGATCTGCTTTTTCGTCATTTAGTAAATCAAATGGCTGTGATGAAAACAAGTGCCACAGATCATATCTTGCTAGGCATTGTATCAACCATTCTTGATGAAGTCGGATGATTCAGAAAACCAAATCGATGTAGGTCAGTACCAAGTATTATGGAATGTTTTATTGACACTTGGTGAAATTTTCAAGACACTATGACTGTATGTCTTTATAGGCTGGTTATCAGTGTGAAAACAATAAACATAATGTTCTGCTCTAAAAACGCTATATAAACAATTTTACGAGACATTTGCAGTGGATGATGTGTTAGTTACGGACATAATGTTCATAGCGATTTAATCGAGGATGGAGACCATTGCATTGCTATATAGTTTCTGTAGTTAGTTATTGTCATCTTATACAATGCAGTTGTCGTTTTACTATATCTGCGAAAGGTTGTGGAATCTCGAAACGGAGATACTACAGACCAAAATATTTGAATTGACCTAAACGTACCTTAGTCCAAAAGTTGATAGTTTGCGAGATACAAAGTTACAATTCTATTTTCCATTTTTCCTTATTGCTTGAGAAGTATTTCAAATGTTGGCATAAAACTCGGTGTGGGGAGGTTTCCTAGTATGAGAAACAAGAATCCGTTATTTTTTATGGCCAAACTTCTAGAGGGCGCTACTTACAGCACTATTTCGGTAAATAAATTATAACTTTTTCGTATTACCCTGTATACATCAACTGACCGAAAAATTTTGTTTCCTCGTATTTCCACAACAAGAAAGGTTCACTTGTTAGAAGTGTCTAAGGATAATAGTTTTCGAGATATTTATTTTTAAAAGTTCCAATGCATTATTTGTACCATGAACATTTTTATAACATAATAATCAAGTTGTTTTGGATAATATCTGAGTAGCGTTGCTATGGTTTCTAATGTTTGTCATAATATTGCTTTTAACTTCATGAATAATTTTAAGCAATGATTTAAAAGCAAAAGCAGATTCCCTAATAGACACCTGCCTAATTCAAAGACTTTCCAACGAATCGATCAGCGGTTACGAGGTACTGGTAAGAAATGATTATAGCCTTATTTTGACTAGTAAAAACCATTTGGATTTTAGGTAGCTTTGCTCAAAATATAGGCCGACGTAGTGGAGCTCCCATAACTGTACGTACAGCTGAAATTGAAGAAAATATTTTAGTGCTGTCTTTGAGAATCCTACAGTTGGGGAATGTAGCTCGAGAATTTCAAGTTTTCAAATGTACAGTAAATACCATTTTTCAAGAGCAACTGCTCCATTCATACCACCTGCAAAAAGTATATGGTTTAAGTGCGTATGATCTCACCGTTAGGGTAGAATTTTGTACATGGCTCTAATGGAAGTTTAACCCCAACAATGGTTTTACTTCGTTAATATTATTTTCGGACGGAGCGGCACATTTATGCAGACGAAAATCATCATGCAATAATACAAACCTGCCACCAAGTACAATTCCAAATTAATTTACGGCGGTCTACCACATTTTAGTATATTAGTTAGAGAGCACCTAAATAGGGTTTATCCAGGCCAGCGGATAGGCCGATCAGGACCTGTAACGTGGCCGGCTAGATCACCAGATTTAAATCCTATGCCAGTGGAAACTGTAGATGATCTTCGACAAATAATTTTGCACCATAGCTAGGAAATGAAAAATAACATCCGAATTTTTTGGAGAGTGCAGCAAGGATTGGTTTGTCGAGTTCGAGAGTGGGTTAGGGAAGGTGGTGCAGATTTTGAACAATTTTTGTAGTTATTATTTCCGTTAATTAGTTTTGTTGCCATCCTCATTTATTATTGATAAAAAACATAGAAACTCTACTCAGATATTATCCAAAGCAACTTGATTATTATGTTATTAATATGTTTTATCATGATGGTGCAAATAATGCATTGGAACTTTTAAAAACAAATATCTCAAAAACTATTAGCTCTAGACACAACTAACAAGTAAACCTTTTTTGTTGCGGAAATACGAGGAAATACGATTCTTCGGTCAGTTGTTGTAAACAGGGTTGCACAAAAAATGTATGATAAGTTATTTACCGAAGTTTGGCCATAAAAAATAATGGATTCTTGTTTCTTTTCAAGCAACAAGGAAAAATACAAAATAAAATTGTAACTTTTACACCCTGTATCTGCAGCATCTCCAGTTTCGAGATTTCCCAACCTTTCGCAGACACCCTGTATATGTAGTTGTTCAAGTAAGTTAATAGCTTTCTACTATTTTACTATTAGACTTTGTTCCTCCATCTCCAATGCTCGAGGCCTACTTATTATTTACATATTTCTTCGACAGTGTGACCTTGAGCTTTGGAGTTTGTTAATGCATAATCTCCATTTTCGTCTCATGTAACTAAATGCGATTGAAATTGATTTTGTACCTAACATCCTAATGTGTGGCGTAAACATATTTGGAGAAGAAAAATTAGCTTTTTGGCACCCTCCATCAATAACAGTGAAAATGACATCAGATTTGGGATTTATGCACTGCCTTTACCCAAAGAGCGGGTTTTACAGGCATACAGGAATTTTTGGAAATATATAATATTTGCCCGTAGTATAGGTATGCCTTTGAACTTCTGGATGCAAAATTTCCATGTTTTGATCTCTGTGTCTACATGTCATCATCCCCAACAATAGTCACATTCATGATTCATGCACCCCATTTACCATTTATCCAAGAAATGGGTTCTGGTCGCAGTTGTAGATAGGCATCAAAATTTGAAGATTCTCGTCCAAGCCCAATGTTTTGTTTTACTGCACGCGAGGGTCCCTAGCTTTGGGGGTTTTTCGCTATTAGGTCTAATTTCTGATCTGCTGTTTAGATGATTAAAATGGGCAACGTACCTCAAAAGTATGGTCTCGAATGACGACAATAAATTATGAAATATAAAATCAAACCAAAACGATTTCGATAGAACCTCAAGCTTTTCTGGCCAAAACAATTTAACTTTACTTATACATGGTGTTGGAAAAATACGGATATTTTAGAGGGTGATTCCTTGTTGAAACATATTAAAACAAGTTCAATATAAACATGGGTCTGGAAATGGGATATAGGGTGATAAGTTAAAAAAAATTAGTCTTACAGGCGCCTCGCTGCATAACAGTTACTATAAGCACGTGCATACTCTACATACATGCCTGCCATGGCCTCAAAAGTGAAATTTTCCATCAAAAAACCGAGACAAAAACTTTTTAGAGAAATTTCGCAAAGAAAATTACCTGAATAATTCTTTTCTAGAAGAACTGACGCACAAATGTTAAAAACCTAAATCCAGAAATGTTTTTTTGTTTTCAAGGCACTTATGGTTTCTTTAGCAAAAATTAATAAACCAATTTTGTCCAGAGACATGCAATAAAACAGTTGTTATTTTCTTTTCTCGAAAACGAAGTGAGATACGAAAAAAATACAAGAGGCAAAGAAGTTGTATTTTCAGATGATATTAATATTAGATTATTAATATTAATTTGTTTGCCAATAATATTCGCCAAGGCGCCCCTGTGAGGCCACTGGACCTAATAATTGTAATCAATTTTGGGATAAATTAGCCTCTAAATACAACAAATAATGTTGTCAAATTTCAACAAAATTGAGTAAATATTTTTTGATATTAAAAAAAATTATCGCGCTAGATCTTGAAAACGCTTTTTCATATTTTTTTAACAAGGGACCACCTTCTAAAATATCTCCGTCTGTATCCTGGAACATACGTATAATTGGAATAATATATTGTACACAGATGCTTGTCCAGAATAAAATCAATTTGTTTCTAATAGTTCGCGTGTATACATAAGATGCCGATATAAACTTTATAGCGGAACACCATATGTGCACATCACTCCTGCTGTCATTGCCAAACTGTGGTGTTATTTTGACTCCAGAAATCCGTAGCGTGGGAGACGCCACTTTGTATTTTATGGACTTGTCGCTCTAATGTGGGACAAACGGTGTGCTACTCTGTGGGAAGCAAAGCAAAGTAACAGAATGGTCCACAAGACATGACAGACATGGTGATAATTTTGCGTAAAAGCGAACCAGACATCAGCTGACTATCAGCATTACTATCCTTACAAGAACCAGGCAGGTATGACTATCACCTCAGTATAGAATCGTTGTTGTCGACGCTATCACAATATAACGTAGTAAATACTGCTGGCAGGCAACAAAAGAATGTAACAGAGTGTTGCTAGAATATACAAATTTTTATCTAAATCCTTCTATTCGTCATCGTCTGGGTCGCATAGGAGCTTTGCTCTTGATTGTAGGTCAGTAGGTATGCTAAATCAGATGCCAGACAAAGTCAGTGTGAAAGGCAAAACGAAAAAAGAACGGAAGAAAGAAGATAGATGCTATTAGATTGATATAAAAAAATATCTCGAGGTTGTGAATTCGAATGAGATTCTCACAAACAAAAATAAAATGTAGCCACGTCTGATTATTCCAAAAACATGGTCCTATTTTAGAGAAAAATGGTGGATTTAATAAACTTGGAATAAGAAGTAGCTATTCCATGGATGCGTAGATGGTAGAGGAGGAGGTAGTATTATGGCCCCCTACTTTAATTGTTGCACGTAAAGAAACAACCTAATGTTTTCTCATTAATCTTTGTGTGTCAGTATATTTAATCATTTAAGAGCAAGTGGTAATATATAAGAAAAATAATAATCGAATATGTTTCCATAAAAATATATTTTTGTGATTCTTGCAAACATTCATTAATTTGAAGTACGAAAGTAATATGGCTTCTGGGGGTCCCCCCATATTAACGTGCAAAGTATATAGTACAACCGAAACAAGCTCTCAAAGTTTTACCCACAAGAATGGCATATGTAATACTTCCGTTCGGCTCTAGAGCACTCATTGTGTGCCCACATCGTACAGCTTTGCCACTGAACCCATATTTCGCCCTGTTGGTCACAAAACATACAAGTCGCATTGTTGTTCTCAGAAACTGCCCCTTCCAAAGATTCATCAACATCGGAATCATCATCACTAATTGAAAGAACATCGTCATCACTGTCAGAACTGCTGTTTCTACTAGAGGCTTTTCTGGAAACTTTTCCTTTTGACTCAAAGTTACGTCAAACTTGCTGTACACTGTTCCCTTATGTAAGTTGATAATCTAAGTACAGCTGCCGATGATGCTTTGCGTCCTCGAGTTGAAGTTTTTTTTTTGGGGTTTCGGGATAGGTGATATATCATGCGGTAAAACAAAAGAAGATTCAGAAGCCGATGATCCGGGTTGATCATTGGGACTCGTTTTTTCTACACGATCATTGACTTTCGATGGCCCAGGCTGTACATGTGTTGCTAATGGTTCTATCACTGTAGATATTGCCGACTTGTTATGTGATGCTGTCGATACTGTTGATAGTAGTTGAGATTGTGCCATGAAGTCAGCCTCGGTAAATATGTGGCGATTAAATGGATATATGCCAGAGAATCTTGAAGCCATTTACAGCTATCTCACCTGTTACGCACTCACTAAATAAGCTTTTCCAAATAACTCTGTAATATCATGTTGTTTTAGACGTGTGTCAGAATGTAACAGAAATTTTCGGATCTTTTCACTGTAGTGAGATTTTAGGGCTCCCATGAACGTTCGGTTCGGCAGGCTAATAATAGTAACATGGTTTTTGCGGGCTAGCTGCAAAACTTCAAAGTTTCGAGTATGGCTGTAATGTCCATCGAGTATAAGAACACCCTTTTGGATGGTTTTTTTCTAAAATATTATTAAACTATTCAGTAAATAAATATGTTTGTATCCATCCCGAAGGATGTACCCTCCAAACTGTACCAGCTGGAGCCTCTTTCATTAAACATCTGAAATTTTTTTTCTGGGGAATATCATTGGCGGTATGAAAGAACCTCTAGCGCTCATTGCAGTAACTATAGTTAACAACGTACCGCGTTCTGCAGCAGTTAAAGCTCCGATCTGCCTTTTGTCCTTTCGTCCCACCACTGCTGGCATTTTTGTTTGTACAATGGTGAGGCCCGTTTCATCTACATTGTAGATGCGATCTGCGGGGTATTTTCATTTCACATATTCGGATTCCAAAATATCAAAAAACTTATTGACTGCTGCTGGATTAAAACCTTGAACTCGTGCATAAGAGGTTCCCGTAGGTTTTCTGCGAGACAACTGATGTCTGTATCTTGTAAGAAAATGATCCAACCATGCTCGACCTGCTATATCATTTTTATAATGATTAGGAAAATTGTTTTGAACTGTCAACTGGTGTGCTATTTTTCTGACATCCATTCGAGTTAAGCCATAAAATATTTGCTCCACGTGTAACATATATTCTACTAATTTCTCTTCTAGGTAAGGTGGCAACTCAGGACTTCTACCTAAGGGCAACTCAGTATTATGGTCGAGCCTTCTTCGGATAGTTCTTGGCACACCAAAGGTTTTAACTGCCTTCGTAAAGCCCATAGACTTGCGCACGGCATTAACAGCCCTTGTCATCTAATCGGCACTCCACGTTTTTCTTTTCCCATCCCTTTTCGGGGCATCTGCAACAATCTACCAAACTGAAAACTCCTTTCAATACATTTTTACTTTGATTTAAAATAACACAAACTGTTGACATTTTAGTGAATAATCATACACAATAATGAAAGTGACTTGATTGAGACGTTTCGTTCTTAGATGCCTTATAGTCGTGGGTGCAAGAATAGTGATGTCAATAAAATAGTCATTAATAATATGCAGTGTAAATGTGAACGTTAATTGTCATTATAAAGTTCTCTCTAACACAAACACTGACTCTATTTAAGATAACTGGCAATGACCTAGTTCGCAAAACAACGATCTGGTGAACATCTAAACGAATGTTGCTTCGATTGTCATGTTCCAAAATCAAAATATTTTGATCAGAGACCAACTAGAGAAGTCAATGTGTACAGATTTTGTTTATACTCCAGTAGTATTGTTCATACTTAAGTAAATGTACTAGCGAGATTTACTATTCAGTGAATAGATAAAGTTGATTCAAGTACTGGTCATTTTTGACTTAAGTTGGCAATGACAAATTCACTTCAATATGGCGGAACTATGATCGCAATTGTCAAGTTATAAATTCAATGAGCTGGATAACGATAAATTAAACGAATCACTTGGTACTTCGAGCACATCGTATCATATACAAAAATTAAAATCGGTAGCTTCATACACCGCCACCTTTTACCCGAAATAAAAACTTCAGAGGTCTATCATAATTCTATTAACTTTAGGCAACTACAAATCTAGCCCTGTGTTGGAAGATGTGTTGAGGGTAGGTTATCTTGAAATGACAAAGTAGGTAATTGTGGGTGTTCCACAGGGTTCTCGATCGGAACTATTCATTTGGAATATAATTTATGATGCGGCCTTGAGTTTGAGGACGCTGGTAGAAATTCAGATAATAGTATGTTATGATGATGGCAAATCATTTTATTCCAAGTCGAGAGAAAACCAGCAATATATGGTACATAAAAGTTAACAGTTAAAGTTTGGATACCTGGATACGAAGCTAGAATACGAAATTTGATCAAGCATCAGACTTTCTCACTCTGGAGTGCTATTTTATTTTCGGCTGTATTTATTCCATGCCTAAAATTGTAATATCTTTTCTGTGTTTCAGGTGATAAGATGACTTCTGCTTGCGCGAAGCGTTGCAGATCTGTCTTAGCGGTCGCGGCCATTTTTGCTCTGGGAGTACTGATAGCAATTGTTTGGGTGCAATTCGGACAGAGCGTCAGCAAACATCGCTTACATTCGATCAATGTAACCAGCTTGCAAAGCGCTCAGAGAAAAAGTGATGGAACTATGGTTGACCGGAAAGGAAAAGGTAAGCTTCTGACATACACAAAAATGATACCTAAAGCCGTTGCTTGAATTTGCTCTTAGCGTTTGGGTAAGGTCACAGTTACAGTGTCGAAACTGCCGGTATGACAAATACATTTTTCTTATTATGCTGTCAACAAAAGCAATCACATGAGCTTAGAGCACTGACATTATGAAACTTGAGCAGGATTAGAACGCAGAACTACAAGGCAATTCTTTAATCAGATTTTAAGCTACGGTACAGGGTGCTAAGTCCACAGTTTCTGTCGTATACTGGAGTTCAATATGGTGGCTGATGACGGTCCACGTACAGTCCGACGTCGCTTCTGCTAGATACATACGATAATAGGAATCTGCTAGTTAATTTTATATCATACTCTTTAAGAATTGCACATAATTTCAGATTATTCGGAAGTACGAAAAGCGATTCTAAAAACAATTACACCACGTGTCGAAGAAAAATAAAGTGCCTGCAGCCCGAACTCATCACTTTCAGACAGTTGGAGGTCTAGTTTATTTTCGAAGTGTTTGAATTTATAGCCGACCCTGAAAATGACAATGCCGAGCTTCGACGCAGTGTTTCAATGTCTTCCGGGGCCTACGGACTTATACTTAGTTTTCTTTCTTTTATTTTACTTAGTACTGTAATCGCGGAAAAATCTAAAATGAGATATTACGTTTTTGGATGTTGTATGTACCTACATCACGGAAAACTATGCCACTCATTTTCATCAGTCTGTCGGTTTGCTTGCATATCGGTCTGTTTGTCTGTCTGTCTGTCCGTCAAGCCTTGACCGGTCTATTACTTGGAAAGTACTGGTCAGATTTTGATGAAATTTTTACATAAGGTTACTATTATGCCCAGGACGAAACAGCTTTGTAGTCTTTGACTATTGGTTTAGTGGAGGCGAAGAGAAAGACCAAACACGAAAAAAGAATCGCTCAAACTTGGCTTTTTGACGTTTCAGAGGATCCTGATAACTTTTGGAAAACATTTTAGGGGTAAAAAGTTGGGGAGTGAGGGTTGTAGGGCAGTGGAGGAAGATCTTTTGTAGTTTTTTACGACATTATTCTAATACAACCTAGGCAGCAGCGGTCGCCGCAGTAGTAGACTCTCGGTCTCCTAATCAGTCGCCGTGCGCTGTGCGGGTTCGAGTCCCGTCCCGGGAGAAATTTTTCTCTTGGCTATGGATGTTGTGATTGTCCGTAGATGGTAGACGGCCTCTAACTGTCGAACGCGGAGGTACCACCCGGCGGATCTCGTAGGCGGAGCCAGAATGTGTGCATGCTGCATGCACACGTGTTCTCTCGCCAGAGTCCGTGTGACGTTCCCCCTTTCCCCTGTATCCCCCTATAGCCCCACGGTACCCAATGGGTGTTTAGGCCTTAGGCCTTCGTGGTAGTTGGATTATAAAAAAAACGATAATTATACGCACCTATTAGACATATTTCTTACACCATTGATTGCTCCGTATATTTGCCCTTAAGACTTAGATCGATAGAAACATGTTTTCGAAAAGCGTGAGTTGACTTCAAAAGCTATGGCCAGCGTGCCGGTGTTCGTATGTACCCCGCATAACTGATGCTCTGTGGGCGCTCACCCGCATGGGACGGTACTACTGGTAGGGCAGACAAAAGGTGTTATGGACTAATTGTACGGACTCATTTAATTTCTCTGTTATACATGTTCGTATCTAACTTTTTTCGTAGGTGATCTAACTTAAACAAGCTCAGTTTTTCAAATATTTGTTGTGATCCGAACAGATTTGTGGCTAAAATCACAACCTAGTTGAGCATAATATGGAATCTATTGTGATATAATTGTCGCTATATTGATTTTAAAGTGATTTAAATAACTTGTTATCCATATATCCAAACTTGGGGCGTGCTGAGCTACCTCAACAAAATCTAGTGGCACCAAAGTGAGAACACGTAAAATTGCTATTTATACTGTTTATAACGCAAGAGTAAAGACCTTTCCCAAGAACTTTTAGATTCAACATGGAAGTAGATAAGATTCAAACTTTTGTTTGGCTGTTCTTAGTATCCATCAACAATTCTGGTTTAACATACCTTAGATCGGAGCGATCAAAGACAAAAATAGTGCAATGAAATAAATAAATATTAATCCAAAACTGCCCAGGTTAAAGCCTAATGTTGAGATACATGTCCTTTCATAACCCCGATGACTATGGGCGCCCAGTCAACCAGTTTGGATCAGAGTTGTTTGCTGCTCACAGCGGAGGGAGGCAAAATAATGTCCACGTAGAGATATTTTGAGGAATAAAAAAGATCCACGCCACTCCCCCCGCAGTGGGCGCACTTGCCGATGATAATAAATAATTAATATATTAACACTTATCGATAACAAGATCTAATTTAAACAGCTTTTTACAATTCACAAAAGTCTTCACCATTTCAGCAAATGTCTAGAACACTGGGGGTGTATCCTGACTGCTGACTACATAATTTTGGAACAAAGCAAATCGCTAGCCAGCTCCTCCTACCTAGTTCGTTATTTCATTTACTTTTCGAGACTTAAGCAAGAAATTTGGATGAATTGAATGTGTTTGCTTTCCTTCTCAGTGACCAACCGTATACAGAGCCGTTTCATGCTTGTTAGCAAAAACAGACAACGGACAGCAAACTTGGCGACTCTTAGATTACTATCAGATTTTGAGTGAAAATCAACAAAACTTATCCCCTTGCTTTTTCCCTCAGACACCGACTTTCATATTCTGCAAGATGCCGTCGTCCAAACGCGTCCATATTGTGTTGCGTAGACGTTGCCCGACAGAGCGTGGTGTCACCAAGAAACTAAGCTCTGTTCATAACAGGATCTTAGTATAAAGTAAACGTGCTGATTTCGTCCGTACTAATATCGATAGTCAACCACAGACAGCTGTTTCGTGCTTTTTGGCAACTGATCAGCATGGTCTAGGCATGGTCTCTTGGACAACGAACAAAATGCTTGCAATTATTCTATATCCAACACAAGAAATCTATCAAAACAAGACAGCGCCAATCGCCATCTATTACAAGAATCAGCCACTGTGAGAGTGTATAGTAGTGGAACTATAAATATCCAAGGATCTAAATATGCTGCTAGTGTGACACAGTATAGTGAGCTACAATCTTTATTCGTCAAACAAATAGCTTGAATGAGCCGAGGAAAAGTAAACAAGCATGGAACACCGCTATCGATACACAGAGTACCTTGCTGCTACATTAGCATATTCAAACAGGTGTTTGGGTGGCTCTACTGTTTTTACTTTCACAGATAGCGTCGTCGCACTATTTGCTCAAGCGGTTCTGTCACAACGTATTTATAGAATGAAACGTCTGAGCGTCTGAAAAGCTAAGTGGAATACAATAGCGTAATATGCCGCTTGAAGGAGAAATTGCATCAGGTTCTATAAATATTGAGAAGATGTTGAGATGTTAAAATCGCGTTACTCCAGTAACTGCCGCCAAAGGTTAGGCGTACATGCTATAGAATAATTGCGAGCGGAAGCTTCTCGTAAGCTTATTACATAAAAAATCGCAACCTGACAGGTGCTATTTCAAACGTAGTAGGTACATCACTGCCTGTGCGCCATCTATGGAGGAATATCGCAATAGGCGTAATGCTGATATATTCCCCTAAACTACTGCAATCCGTATTTCTCTAGCATGCTTTGTGGGTTGCAGGCTCTTAGGATACTATATGGGCTATACTTTTGGAACAATGTGTCACGTAAGAAATATGGCCGAGAATTAGAATTTAGCTGTTTGGTTGAGGAATAACGGGTATGTGTACCGGTTTTGCGCTTATCGATGATTAGCTTTGTCTCTGGACGGGCATGGAACACGTCCAGAACTGAGCGAGCAATTGCATTTCAAAGTATTTGTTTCAACTGTTCAGCTTTCGGTTTATTTCATTGACGTCCGTTGTTCCAGCACCTTTGGTGTTTGTACGAAACTAATCTGCTACTTCTAAAATGTGTTCTAAAGAAAATTAGGAACGTTTATGGTACCGTTAGGTTTAGGCATGCGCAGTTGAAGGTCAAGTGTCAGGTTAGCGGTTGAAGGCCACATCTTGAAAGACTTCTAGTTCGCGTTTATAAATGTTTGGTTCGCATCATTGTTTTGTTCATTTTATTATAACGTATCATTAGGAAACTGGTAATCTTCCATGACTGGCAAAAACCAAATGAAATTCACAGCACAAAACCGTGTGCGAGTTGTAGGTTATGGAAGCACAAACCTAGGAAAACTCTTTCAGCAGGATCGGTACTAACTATTGTTTGAATCATACTGGATGGCCCGCTAAAGAAATCATGTTCTGAGCATGAACCGAAAATTTTGCTGCAACATAGCTATTGATTCTTATGTGCGAGAGGCATATTCTGATCATAAGCAAGAGAGGGTTTAACAAGATAACCAAAGCGGGTATGAATAGTACGAGTATATATAGTATGAATTTTGCAAAAATCGTAGTCTGACACAAGAAATCGCGATTTGACAAAAGAATTACAGTCTGACAGTTGCAGTTGCTGTAGGTGCCAAGTGAGTACTGAAAGATGTATATTGGTAGAGCTGAAAGATTTAATCCTAGGAAAAGAAGAAAGCTGAGGAGGCTTTCAGACTTCAACACTACATAAACTCAGCGTAAATAGGACAAAACTACGATGAGTGGATTGCTTTTCAATTAACTATACTGATTATTCACAGCACACTCACATGAAATAGGGCAGAGTATATCAGTCCGCCAGTATCAGGGAATTTTGGAAGAGAGACGAAATTGCAAAACATAGTATGTTCAGTTATCGCGATTTAATGACTGTCGTTAATTAGATTAAAACGTATGATAACTGGGCCATGCTTGTTGCTTTTATACATACAAAGACCAAAACATTTTCAGCTGCATAGTGTCTGAGATTAAATTTCATTCAAATTGCAGCGATAAATTTTATTTTGAATGTCTAATAATCCTGTTTTTCTATGCGGGATTATACATATCATGGGAACTGAAATTATTGGCAAACATCGCTATAACCATAACATGTGGTGATGGATATATTACTTAATATTAAAGCTACACTTCTGAAGTTGTATACAACTAATAACAAATTTACTAGAGACACATATTGAAATACATATTATTGAAAGTTTTTTGTATACTTTGTGTATCTGGATATATAGAACTGTTTGCGTCCCCACAATACGTAGAAAATATCTTTGGCACATAGAACTCACTGAAATGCTATGAAAAAATTTGTATAAAATAGGGTTCAAGCAGATCGACTCAGTAAATGCCTTAAAAGTATTTTCGGTGACTGTGATTTCGAAAAAATATGTGCCTTTGAGAATTAAATTACACACATATCCTTGGAACGCGGCGTTCGATCTGATGAAATTTTATTACTTCTGGTTATTGATTATTTATTAATTTACTGCTTCATGGAGAGTGTGTAGAGCAGACTCTTTTGCTTAAGAAAGCTCCATACAAGAATTATAGGCTCTGATATAAAGTTTTTCGTGCATTTGTTTTGTGAGTATATGTAGTTGTAATCTTAAATATATTTTTTAGCGGAAATTACAGTCGCCTTTTTATGATCTTGGATACATATGGTTTGTTTTTCGTTATCGGTGTCTAATACAAATGATTGTGAAAAATCCTGATGTTCTTGGGGCCAAATGTCAGCACTAAATCAGATTCGGGATCTACGCACCCTAATTACTCAGAAAACTTTTTCATCCAAATCACAAAGGTGCAACGATTCTTGAAAATCCTCTATAATACGTTGATTGGTTTTCTATACTCTTGCCGATATTTCTAAAATGACTAATTACCTGCTGGACGACCTACTGAACCATTTTTTATTCTGTTTGGCTACTACTGTGCACATTTTGCGTCGCTCAGTCCGTATCCGAAGTCATTTCTGGTGCATCTGTTGCAACGCATCTGGTCATAAAGGTATCTGCACAATACTCCTAAAAAAAGAGCTCTTGCTTGCAGATTTGGTTTGATTCGAAGTAGTTTTCGTTTTTGCAAAATTCTGCATTATCTGTTTACATATTTCCATTATTTATACGCTACAAATCTCAAATGCAAGGCACTTTATATACCCTGAATATATTTACATTTATTTGGCATATTTTATAAAGACCGTCTGAAGCCGGTAGTTTTAGCTCTAATGTCACAGATGATAAAGTACCCGCGTCCACTTGTGTATATAATTTTAAAGCATAATGTTCGAAGGCAATTTTTCATGTAAATACCAGTGGGCATTGGATGAAAACTATCTGGAGGAATGAGGAGGTATTGACCTTATAGTTGGTCCCATATAAAAACTGCGACTAGGAGGGTTATTGCATTAAAATTCTCTTGATTACATTTACCTGAGCTCCCTATGAATCCGTTAAATATTCATTCTCTTATTTATACCGAATATTTCGGTCACATGGAGCAGATAGTGATCTTTCTGCACTTTGATGAGGGACAAATGTCTATTCAGTCTGCAGCGGTCCGTGAGAATCTCCACGATAATATAAACGTATATACGTCAGGGAGACTGTAAACGTATACTGTCAGGCCACTTCTTGGTAAAGTTTGGCTTTCTATGAGTGGGATGCTCACTTGGGTACCACTTAGTATTCGCCAGGGTGCATCTGTCAGTCGTCAAAAGCACTAAATTTATATTTTTGGTCTTAAATGTTCCGAAGACGACAAACTTCTTTCGTGCAAGAAAATACCATAAATTAGTGCAATTTTGTGACGCGACCACGGTGGTCGTGGAAGAATAGGGCAAAAATCGCGTGGGCCGTGATGTTAAGAAGACAGACGAACGTCAACGCCCGCCATTGTAATTTTCGTGGCCGTCTGCCGTCTCGTCATTGTCGTTCAAACAAAAATAAAATCACATGCTAAAATAATTTTGGGTGTGCCAAAGTGTGATGTATGGCTTCGTCTCAGACGATTTGTCAAACTGCTTAATGACTTGTGATCTCATTCGGGAGCATTTTTCCATCTGGATGGATATGCAGGTCAAAGAATATTGGTGATTGTGTATAGTTATGATAAGCATTAGTGTGAGATCATGATATATGGTGAAGGTTGTTCGCTTACAAAGACCAGACAACAATTATTGAGACGACAAATAAACGGATCGTATAATCTAAGAGCTCAGTTGGTATATGTAAGTCTGTCAATCAGAAGATGCATAGTGTTTAATCTTTCGCAAGCGCTAAGCCCCTCTGTAGGCTGTGATACACCTTTAGACTAGAGCTGATCTTGTCCTACAAATGTTTTTTAGGCAGGGAAAAGCTGTTCTAGACACACTCGGGTAACAAAGCTCGATATTATCACACTGTCGGCTTTTTCTGCCTGAAGTGTCAGATTCTCTGGAAATTTGGGTACTCAACTCTCTACCCATCCCACTATGATGATGCTTGATGCATTTCATCAAGGTGGGTCGCGCTAAGTACTATTTTTTCCCATCTTCGTCTTTCCCAAAACGTAAAGATAACCGAATACTTTCAATTTTTCTATTCTTTTTACTCTTTTATCGACTGTTTTTTAGTCAAACGTCATGTGAGCTTACAAACTATTAATCAAAATTAGAACTGAATTTTGCCGATCTGTTGGTATTTTCAAGAAATTGTGGATTTTGAATGTTTGTGATGCTACAGTTCGTAAACCTCGTGTTTCACTTTCCTGTTGATGCGAATAAAAGATTAGCGAGAGCTTGCATCTGAAAAAAAAAGAGTCTTAGTGCATAAGGACTCTGGCTTATCAGAAAAATTGACTGCATCCCCAATATTTTTGCGACTTTGTTTCAACTAGTCCGTTGAGACTATCCACGTTCTCATCATTGTACATATGCTTCTAATTTAGCAAGTAGGAACCTATCGTTGATTCCTTGGTCTGTTTTTATCACCACGTACTTTGCTCGGTATCATTCGTCTCATTATTGATTGAGCGTCAACACATTTGCAACCGCTTACGTGCTTAGCAAAATTGTCAGCACGAAGTCCCATCACAGAACGTCAATTCCAGCTCTGTCTGGTTCTCTGGTAGTCTATCCATTTACCACATTCAAGTAGATGATTAGAATGATTCCATATTGCTTCTTCATATATAACTTTGGAAAGAAAGCCACAGTCTGTCCGTACGGGCAATAAGCATGTTTTTTGACTTATCTAAACTAAAAACAGAAATACAGTGTATCACTGCAGTGAATGATTTCCATCTAATACTAATTTAACTGTTTATGTTACCACCTAAGATTATCGTGTCCCTATCACTGTCAGATGGTATTTTAACCTATACTAACTCATTATTAGACACACAAAATCGACTAACACATTAAGTTGGCTTTTAACTCCTTCACTATATCTAACACTCAACCCATGGATCATTTCCTTGATGGTTGGGAGGTGGATCTCACACTGACTGAAAATAACTCCCATTTATAACGCTATCGCATCGCAATGATACGCTCTTTTCTAGTAGAGAAGCACAAGTCACTAGTTACATCTTCAAGTATATAAATAATCAGGTCACTGTAAAAACACAGAATCTGTCAGTTGCCCTACAAATCGCCACCTACGCTTTCTTATGATTTGTAGTCATTTTGACTTATTGTTGTTTATTATTTATTTCTATCGGTCATTTTATTACTTTTATGCTTTCTAAACCCAGCTGGTGAAACGGGGAATTAGATCCACCTACACATGTATCTACCTGGCATATGAGAAAGCAAATGTGACTAACGAAAACGGTTTCATTTATTTTTGTGAAAGCTGAATCAAAAATATAAAATTATGAAGGTTTCCTTGACGTAGGTTTATTTTTATATACCGGAAATCTTTTTTGTAGTACACCGCATTAGCAATATATTATATGATGAAATTGTGACAGTTTAGAACTGCAAGCGGCGCCGTACTTTGGATGAGTATTAGTAATAAATAACTTGGCAAGCATTAACAATCCTTTGAACTCCAAAGTGAAAATGTAATGAAGTAAGACCAGCGTACGCTTCAAGTATAAATGAGAGAGCCAGTATAGAGGCGTTATGGCGACTGGACCGGTGTATATCACAGTGACGTTCACCAGTGTCAAAAAGGGCCTACATGGTATAAAATCTGACCTTACTTCGATAAGGCGATGCCATTTGGCCTCCAAGATCACCTCAATAGCCCACAGGTTTGTGCGACAAATGGTTGAGTTGAGCTACCTCAAGAGGAAATCGATTTTCTTCCGTGTTTCTGAGTTCACATTATTAATTTCTTACAGCCTTTCCAGTGGTTGGATTTTTGTCAAATTTTTATGAACCACTTTGTATACAAAAAAATCACTGTAATCAATTCATTATTTTTTGTTGTTTTTTTTTTCTGTGTAACTTAGTATATGTGTATATATCTCTTTTCATGAACCATAAAATATTGAAATACAAAATTGGATATATTATACAAAGACATTAAAGAAACAAATCAACTAATTATACCCGTATGCTGCTTTGCAATTTTGCAATCGTGCTTCTCTATTTTATGAGTGGGAAGTAAGACAAGACCAAAAAATGACTAACATGGTTTTTGTAACATCTCAATCCCGTAATGCAAAACGCTTCGAGCATTGCCCATACTCGGTTTTCGGTAGTGCAAGAATTTATAAATATCAGCTTATTCAGATGGTAAAGATGAATGTGTTAATGAGCAAGGACATCGACTTATGGCCTACAACTTCGAATCGGACAGAAATATGTTCGGATTTTATTATTAGCGATGGCAGAACAGCATGAAGAATGTGTCACCAAATTATTTAACTATAAGCGCACTGGGGACATCAAACATTCGAAGATTATATGCATGAGATTTTCTTGATATACAGGGTGTTTCAGTTTATTGTTGCATAACTTTAAGATTCGATAGAACTTTTAAAATTAATGCATAAAGTCTATCTAAACATGGGTCGAAAAATGCGTGGCTTCCGAAATACAGGGTGTTTAAATTTACTTTTTAAAATATTTTTTTTTAATATATCGAACAATATTTGATGTATAATAGTGAAAATTGGTATACAAGGGTTTTTTGGTACGACAAAACGAACCATGGGCATAGTTTCACTGTAGCCGCTAGAGGGCGCTCTCTACTGTACCTGTAGTGTATTAAAATGACCGAAAATTTTTTCTTAGTGCAATTTTTTGCCTTTTGAATAGAGAAACTGATTCTTCGTACTTTTCAACATAAAAAAGCTCTCTTGTGAATTTTTGGTATAGTTAGCCGTTTTTGAGATATTTCGATTTTTAAGATTTGATGCATTTTTAATTATTTATGATAAAATAACGTTATAAAGGTCAGTATCTCGATAATTTTTAGAAGTAGGCTATGCCTGCAAATATTTTTGAAATTGAAAGCAGAATAAGGTTAAACGTCAATTAGTTGACAGTTAGTTTTATTGTCTGTTGAAACCTGAAACGTTTTTTTGCAATTGTGAATGCACGAAATTTAGTTTCTTTTACCTGTTTTTTTTTTTTGTAAGTTTTATAAAAATGCCATTTTTATTCTCCAATCAAGAGTTAGCGGATATTCATTTTGTGTATGGCTTTGTAAATGGAAACGCAGCAGAAGCAGCCAGAGAATACGCACGAAGATTTCCAAACAGACGACATCCAACTCGCTCAGTATTTGTAAGAGTGCATCGCCAAATAATTGAAAATGGTTTTGGAAATCTCCACAGGGATCAAAACATAAATGTTCGTCAGCGCAGATTTACCCGTATGATTCTGCGTGAGTTTGATAGAGATCCAACCACAAGTGTTAGGAGAGTTTCTGGTGCCTTGGGAATTTCAGCAAGCCATGTTCACCGTGTTCTTAGAATTGACCATAGACGTCCTTACCATTCGCAACCTGTGCAAGGACTACAGCCAGGGGACGGAGAACGAAGAATCACATTTTGTCAGTAGATTCTTGATAGAATTGATGATAATAGGGAGTTTTTAAGTAACGTTTTATGGACCCATGAGTCATGCTTCACTAGACGTGGAGTGGTAAATTTTCATAATCAACATATTTGGTCGCATGAAAATCCGCATTGGAATTTTTAAAGGCTGAACATGCAAATATGTGGGATGGTGTTATGTTAGATTTAAGAAGATTGGCCTGGTTCCAGCTTGATGGTTGTCCAGCTCGTTATTCGAGAATAGTTAGAAACTGGCTGGACGAAAATTATCCAGAAAGATGGATCGGCCGTGGAGGACCAGTGGTCTGGCCTCCACGATCCCCTGACCTAAATCCATTAGATTTCTTTATGTGGGGATTTCTAAAAGAAAAAGTGTAACAGACTCCCGTAACCACAAGAGATATGCTAATAGACAGACTCAGGAATGCATGTGATGAAATAAGGCCTTATTTGAATAATGCTATACCACGTTCGATCATTCGTAGATGTGAATTGTGTATTGAACAATTGGGTTTACATTTCGAGCAACTACTTTAGATTTTGTATGTTTGTCTTAACTATCCAATAGCATTTTAGTTGTAAATAATTAATTTAATTTGTTAAAAATAATATTGGAAAATTAAACAAGTCAATATTCTGTTTTTTGTGTTTATTTGGAGTTAGGAATTATTGCTGTGTTTAAAAACACAATCTAAACGATCATCTTGATAACTTGTAATGCTTAAATCGAAAATGTAAAAAAATATTATTTTCCCATAAATAATTAAAAATGCATCGAACCTTAAAAATCGAAATATCTCAAAAACGGCTAACTATAACGAAAACTCGCAGGAGAGCTTTTTTATGCAGAAAAGTGCGAAGAATCAGTTTTTTTATTCAAAAAGCAAAAAATTGCACTAAGAAAAATTTTTCGGTCATTCTAATACACTACAGATACAGTAGAGAGCGCCCTCTAGCGGCTGCAGTAAAACTATGCCCTTGGTCGTTTTGTGGTACTAAAAAACCCTTGTATACCAATTTTCACTGTTATACATCAAATATTGTTCGAAATATTTAGAAAAAACTATTTTAAAACGTAAATTTAAACACCCTGTATTTCGGAAGCCACGCTTTTTTCGACCCATGTTTATATAGACTTGATGCATTAATTTTAAAAGTTCTATCATATCTTAAAGTTATGCAACAATAAACTGAAACACCCTGTATAATAAAGGTAGAGCTACACGAAATTTAACATTTAACTGACACCGTAAATGTACGAAAACTGAATGCTTCTTTATTACCAAATAACACACGCAGCCACCACAAAAACTTAACAGAAAAACTTGACCATTTTATCACTTGTTGTTCATGGCAAGATAAGTCGATAAGTAAGAAATTATTGAATTCTAATCTCATAAATATACGTAGGTAATTACTTTTTTTTGTCACTAGTATATAAGGGAAATCATGTAAAATTGAGGTTGCATTTGTGGCCCAAAGAGGAATAATCAGATTAACTTCTGGAATGAAGCCACTTGGGTCCTGCAGATCAATCTTTAAGTCAAGAGAAATTCTTAATGCGTATTGCAATGTTAAGGAGTATAATAGTTTATTTCCAAATATCAATGCTTACCACGAGTACAATACAAGAAATCAAAATCTGAAAATGGTTCAGAAACAAACAACCACCTATTTCAAAAAGTCTCCATATCACAACGTCGTCATATTATTTAACAAAGTTCAGTTAAAATTCAACTAATTAGTAATTATATTTTATGTAAAAAAGAAGTAATGAAATGTTGTTAAAAGATTCATTTTACAATGTTGCCGATTATTTGGAATGTACGAACTTGCACTTGAGTACATAAAGATGGTTCAATAGTTATTCATTCATTCTTATTGATCTTTATTGTATTGTATTACATTTGTTTACCACATATATAAATCTGTATCAAGTGGATACGAGTTATAACAATTCGACCTCAATCAATAAATATTTTCCTTCAGAAGGCTTTGTTCGAGTTTTTTTTCAGGGCACTACGTCTGCATAAATTAAACATGACGCTGATGTCATGGAATTCAAAGTAGCAGTTCCAAAAAGAAAGAATGCATTTTGTCAGGTGAATTCTTTTAAAAAATCGTTAACGGAGTTATGCGGAACACCGCTAGTTCCAAGAAGGCTCCTTCATCATCAAATTCTTATTGTGTCCGAAGACAGTTGATGCTTCGAGTATGCAGAAGTCTGTGGCAGAAGTGACGTAGTACAGTCAGTGTAGACAGTTGATGTTTCAGACGTTAAACGTATCTCTTCAGTAGGTGACAAGACAGTGGAAAGTACTGAAAAACTACTCAAACCAAATTGGATCCAACATCCACTATTCCATATATCGTGAACCTTTACCTTAGAAAAGTGGTACCTCCACATGTAGGACAACTTTCAACATTTGACGTAGCGAATTATACGACCTTAAAGAAAGTGGTATTTTCGCATTAGGAATTTTACAGCGGAGGACCTTCGCATGTTGAGGTTTGCAGACAAGGGAGTAGAGAGTACTACTACATGATAGAATCTAAACTTGATCCAACAAACAACCCAGGTGCATCAGATAGTGTCAGTTTAATGGCGGTTTTACATTTACGTACAGAACTTTGCAAAAGGCGATTAGAGGTGGATGGTTCATCAACCTACTCTAATCCAGTTTCCATCATTCAACGCATTGCGTAGTTCAGGTCTGAAGAAGTGGTACACTAGGATGCAGAGCTCTTTAACCTGTGACAAGATAGTGGAAAGTTTAACTACTGAAATCAAATAGGGTTCAACTCCCAACATTCTAGCAATGTTTAGTGTCAAATTGAAGAAAGTACTTTCGCATGCGCAACTACATAGTCCTTCTTAAGGCTTTTGACGGTTACGTCATCAATGCTATACGAAATAAGTAAGCAAATACACTAACTGAACCATGTGCGGAGATGAAGCTCCATAGGAAATATGCACACCGAGCAAACCGATCTTAAGCGCAGCTGCTCTTACACATGAATATAGCGTCGGGATGTTATATTGCTTCTGATGAAAATTAGTGGTGAACTGCTAGCATACGCAATAGCACCTCATACCATAACTCCCACGGTGTGGTGAACGTGACGCTCTCTGTCAAATTGTGGGTCACGTCTTTCGTCACGTCGGCTACTCACTCTTGTCCGACCATCGTGCATCCCCATTCGCATGGGCAATCATCCATTCCAGAGTCTCAAAATTTACAACGGGATTTTCGATGTATTTTGGGGTCTAGATATATATATATATATATAAAAAAAAGGTTAATAAAGGCGTATTGTTTTCGTTCGCAGTCTCAAAATACTCTAATGATTTTGGCAAAAACTATGGTACGCCCATGTCAATTGGGTTGTCACACTGACATTGACATTGATACTCATACGTTGATCAGAAAAAATTTGAGGTGGGGACGAAGCTGAAAAACGTAGGTCGGAGCTTACACAAGCAAACGTTCATACACCGAGGCAGATTGCATCTGAATGTGTGAGGCAGATGAATATATACTAAAACAACACCCAGAACCATTTATTGAATTTTGATAAAACTTGAAATCATATTTGCTATCAGAGAAGTATACGTTGATAACATGTTGAAGTCATTCAGAGCCGTACTTGTTGGTTCCGTGTGTTTCATTGTTGTTTCACTGCATTATCATGTCTAGGGCAGTAGAGTAAACGATTGGTGTGAAGTAGGGAGAGAGTTGAATGCAATATGGAATGGAACTGTTCAGCGATTAGTCCAGATTCTATTTGGGCACACATGATGGCCGTGAAAGAGTAAGAAG